ATATTTATTACAACGTTTCAGCCTTTATCCCCTATGCCATGTATCTGTGAGGACTCATGGCACAGTGGATAAAGGCGTTAGTTAGATCCAGTAACAGGACTCAAAGAGTGTGAGATCAATACCCGGCTAAGGCAGTGGAGAACTTTCAGAGAGAAATTAACAGGAGATAACATCCACTAAACATGGCACGTGGAACTAGAACTGTCTACCCTAATGAGCGAAATAAAGGGTTCAGTTCGACATTTCAACCACCTGAACAAGGTCGGGGCGTACAATGGCCGAAACGTTGTAATAAATATGGCGACAAAGATGAGAACAATAGTCCGAATAATGTAAATAGGCTCATAATATATTCAAAAGTAGAAGATCTGTCCTTCTTGACAAACCCAACGAATCAAAAAATATATTATTCTGCCAACTACCTCTATCACAACTACAAGCGAAAAGAATTTATCTAAACTCAATATATAATTTGTCACAACTACATCAAAGAAACAATCAAAGAAACAAAACAACAAGCCAAAACTTGAAGGAGGAATTTACTCTATCAAGTGCGGGAATTGCCAAATTGAATACATTGGAGAAACCTCAAGAAGTTTAAAAAGACTATATGAACACAAATGAGACATTTATAAAAATCACAAAACACATTGGTTGTCCACCGTAATGAAACTGACATAAGGAATGCTACTTTGATTAAAGGAGAAAATAATCAACTAAGACGAAAATGTCTGGAAAGTGTCTTGATCGCTTGTCCAGCCATTGTAAATTTGAGTCTAGGTTCTTGCAATATATCAACATCTTTGGTAGATTGTCTGTTGTCACAACGTGGGAGAGGAAAAAGGTGATCGAGAGAGAAAGAAAAAAAGAATATAGATGAATTTGACTAAATTTCAAAAATATTCTCTCTCAAAAAAAAAAAAAATTTCAAAAATATTCTTTCAAAAAGTTTGGAACTACCAGTGTCTCTCATTTCGTGCGCATGTGTATATGTGGCAACATCAACAAAACCAAGTCAGATAAAATCCTAACGGATGAAACGCGTCACAAAAACTTTTTTTCTAAATACTGTTTGTTGATATATAAAATTATACAAAATTACTTTGTATAAAATTATACAAAATCATATATATATATATATATATATATATATATATATATATATATATATATATATATATATAGACCGGAGCGTACAACGGCCGAAACGTTGTAATAAATATGGCGACAAAGATGAGGACAATAGTCCGAATAAAGTAAATAAAGTCTAAAATTTCTTATAAAAATAGTTTATTTCAGGTGGATGACATGAATTGCTCGACCTACCTGAAAACTGATAGGTTTCTACGATCTTTATTAATTAAATTTTGCGATCAGCCAAGATCGTAAATTGAACTTTTTTTTTTCCAAAAATGAGCAATTTCCGTACAGCAAAAACGGTAGTTAACTATGAAGGCCATTTTTGGAATCAGCACCATCAGATTATTTTAGAAATATGTTTTGTTTCTTGGCACTACAAATCGTGTTTACCAGTGCAATCTTATTTTTAAGAAAACACCCCTTAACAACATCACCTCTGTACTGGCGAAATTTAAGAATTAATAATATGTCTACCTTTCAGCAATTTTTATACCGTTTAGAATAGCATTTACCATTTACCTGATTTAAATTGTTCGGACTGTTGCACTCATTTTTGTTATCATATTCACACCGTTTCGGCCGAATCATAGCCCAGTGGATAAAAGCGTTGGTCAAAGTAATCCAGTGAATTGACCTAAAGAGTTGTAAGTTCAATACCTGGCCGCAGTAGAGGTGAACACAAACTTAGAAAGTTGAGTTACCGAAGGTAAATAAATGAAACAGAAATTGAGATATTCATGGCACGTCGAACTAAGTCAATCTACCCAGTGGATGAAATAAAGGGTTCCTTTCGAAATTCCAGTCACCCGAAGAAGGCCGGAGCGTACAATGGCCGAAACGTTGTGAATCTGACAACAAAGATGAAGACAACAGTTCGAACAATGTCAATAGTGTAAACAGTTACAATACCTCAACTCAGAATTATAAAGAGTTCCTGAAGAAGGTCGGAGCTTACAATGGCCGAAACGTTGTGGATATGACAATAAAGATGAGGACAACAGTCCGAACAATGTCAGTAGTGTAAATACTTACAATACCTTATCTCAGAATTATATACAGATTCTGAAGAAAGCCGAAACGTACAACGGTCGAAACGTCGTGAATATGGCCATGTCCGAACAATGTTAATAATGTAAATAATTACAATACCTCATCTAAGAAATATAGACAAATCGTGAAGAAGGCCGGAGCGTACAACGGCCGAAACGTCGTTAATATGAAAACAAAGATGAGGACTACATTCCAAACAATGTCACTAGTGTAAATAGTTACAGTAATATAGGCAGACAGCACTTGCGATTTGAAACCAAAATCCTTGTAAATGACTAATAGATTAGCCGAAAGCGCTTGGAACAAATAGTCATTTAGGAAAGTGATGCACATATTAAGTTCAAAAACGAAATCTCTTGTTTGCATAGAAGTAAAATGCCCAAAACTATCCACTTAAGTAACTTGTCAGTTAATTTCAACAAAACATGTAATAGACATGGATTTTTACCCAAATACACAACTCATGTATGGGTATGTATTTTTTTTTTGTGTGTGTGTGTGTGTGTGTGTGTGTGTGTGTGTGTGTGTGTCAAGATATAAATATGTATTATATATTGCCTTTATCAGATATTTAGATATATACCTTGATAGATTAATATAATCGATCGATAATCTCAATATCTGTCCATACATAAATTATTCTGGCAAATGATTACCAGTGTAGACGCATACAGTGAGGATCGAACTCACTTGACGAAGATTGTGTAGGGTAGTTGGATTTTACATCATATCAACCCTTATTATGTTTTCTTTTTTTTCCGTTCTTTTTTTCCGAAAAGGCTATTTTGCCAGTGAAGATAAAATGAACACCAAAGCTACTTTGCCTGTCCCGTTTTGGTTTGGTTTGGTTTACGGCATATCAGTTTTAATGACGACATTTTTTTTTTCCTAGTAATATTTTTGTTTTGTCAAAAATCTATTTCTGTTAATTTTTTTTCCTCAAAAACGTATAGCTGGTAATATCATTTTTTCAAAAACGTATAGCTGGTAATATTATTTTTTCAAAAACGTATAGCTGGTAATTGTTTTTCAAAAACGCATTGCTGGTAATAGTTTTTGTTCAAAAACGTATTGCTGGTAATATTTTTTTTCTTCAAAAATTTTTTTCTTTTAAGAATTTTTTACAAAGTATTTCTTTTATTAAAACCCATTTTTACACTTTTATGATACTTTTTACCTCAGTTTCGGGGTTAACTATTTGCCCAGAGCTGGGATCCTAACAGGTGTTACCACCCCGTGTCAGGGTGGACCTGGGAACACCAGCAATTAAGAGGTGGTTCCACATTCCTCAAAGCCTCCTGATTAGAGGCCTTGCTCCTGGACGTAGTTTAACGTCTTACCCAGGACGCGATGGAGTTTATGTAGCGATCAGGGAAGCACACACTGGGAAATCTGTTCCTCAATGTAACGATTCTTTAAAAAAAAAAAGGCAGTCAGAATGGAACTTACTCTTTACAAATGGAATACAAAGTGAATCGAGCTGATTCTACATGGTATAGTGGTCCCTAGCTCTAAAGATGAACTGGGGGAATGTATTTCCTCTGAACATTTCTCATGAAAATACCGATTTAACAGCGTCATGCTATGTACACAAGAACGAATCATCCCTATTCTTTTTGTCTTCCATTAGTAAGGAGGAAGTTCTATTCGAACAGTTACTTTCCAAGAATCCCCAATTTGTGTAACAGACTCCCGAGAGGATGCTTACTCGGTCATTACAATCTTAACCTCCTCAAGGCTAGGGTTGGCTGTTATTTTTCCTACATTTCCTCATAATCAGCACTTCTTACTTCTCCTTCTTACGTTCCTACAACAACCTCATTCATACTCCCGAGAGGATGCTTCCCTGATCACTTCAACCTTTTCCTCTTCAAGTCTAGGGTCAACCGTTATCTATCCTACATATCCTCTTAATCAGCACTTATTACCTCCTCCTCTTACGTTCATACAGCAACCATATTCAAGCTCCCGAGTGGATACTTCCCTGATCGCAACAATCTTATCAAGTCTAGGGTTAACCGTTACGTATCCTACATATCCAGCATTTTTTTTTACCTCCTCTTCTTACCCACATGCAACCTCATTCACTAATACTCTACTTTGAATGAGTATTGGGCCTTATATTGCAACCATATTCAAACTCCCGAGTGGATGCTTCCCTGGTTCCTATAACCCTTCCCTCTTCAAGTCTAGGGTCAACTGTTATTTTTCCTATATGTCCACATAATCAGTACTTCTTACCTCCTCCTCTTACGTTCATATAACAACCTTATTGATACTCCCGAGAGGATGCTTCCCTGATTGTTACAATCTTATCCCCATCAAGTCTCGGGTTAACCATTATCTATCTTACATATACAGCAGTTTTACCTACTCCTCTTTGCCATATGCAACCTCATTCATTAATACTCTACCTTGAGTGACTCTTGGAACTTTTATTGGGTGAACAATGACTATAAAAATGTGAAGTATGCATAACCAAATATGGTAAAAGTATATATCTAATTCTATTCGTACTATTGTCCTCATGCTTGTTGTTATAACAAGATGTTGATCGTTGTGCCCAGATTTTATTTAATCGAGGGAGTAGAACTCATTTCTCTGTCCATGTCTCGAATACCTCGTCTTTTCCATTACGGATCACTTATTATACACTCTGTTTCCACTGACTTTAAAGATACACTGCCCGGTCCAAAGACTGAACACACTATTAGTGTCTAGTTAAATTCATGAACGAACGCTTAAATTCAATTACCTAACTTGAAACGTCGTCATACAAGGGTAAATAATATTAAAATACTTAGAATTAATCAACACATGCCACCGCATAATAAATAGAGAGTTTCAATTTTGTCTACTGGATTTGCGCCCGTAAACTTGTTCCAAAAACAGGAAGACGGAAATAGACAAGACGCAAAAACAAAAAAAAAATGATAGAAATACGAAGGTAGAGTGACTATTTTGCTATACGTACCCTTTTCTTTCTTTCTAAAGTAGAGAAGGTGGGAATTTTTGTTAAGTCCTCTCCTCAAATATGGGTTTGACGCATAATTTACTCTTTCACAGGCCTCCGCCTATCCTGGTAGTCTCATTATTTTGTATTTTGTGAGGAGACATGATAACATTTCTAAGAATTTGGCACCGCGATTCCTGGGTTTTCTATTTGCTTGTTAGACAGGATTAAGTTTGTCTTTGCCTTTTCAAATTCTTTGACTGCTATATATATATATATATATATATATATATATATATATATTCATTGATGCATGTTTCATTAAATAATATAGACCAGTTTTGTCTATTTATTTTAAGTTCCTTTCATATTGTCTGATAAGCTTAATCACATTATCGTTGAAAGACGAAAGGAAAACACCATATTGATACATGTTTAAATCTAATCTAAGCATTCAGCTTACATAAGCCATTATCAAAGATGACAATTACTTTTCAATATATCAACCAATACACGGAACAATAATGATAGTCTGTTTTTGTTGCATGAAATATTTCAAATCAACAACTAACTCGTGTATACGAGACGCGGAAGCGAAAATCGCGTCGCGGCTTGTGATTTCACACATGACCACGCGAAAGTGAAAACGAGAAATATTAAGTATGGGAAGCCGTTGGTATAAACCAATGGTTTTGTTATCAATTATAGGCAGTTAAAAATGTTTGAGGAGATTTCGTAGTTTATTTTGTTCAGGTTAGTTTTCAACTGTTTTATGTATATAGCTTCAAGAATTTTTAGTTTTTGTTTATTGTTTTTATGTTTAAGTATAGTTGTGTTATCAACGAGGATTTTCCGGAATTGTGTACGCGGCCAGGCATGTTGTTTTAAATGCCTAAAAATATTAGAGTTATCATTCAAATGTAGAGTCAAGCGTCGTGAAAGAGAGTTTGTAAACTAAATTGGTTTTTTTGTAAATCGCTAACGGTGAGTGGGGAAGAATATATATATTGTCATCCACAGACAGACTGTTTCGCTGTATCACAGCTCATCAGTGTGACTAAACGTCCGGTTGCCTCTAGCTAGGATCGAAACCCGGCTGAATTGGCGTCAGTCGGAGATTTTAACCCTAAGCCGTTGGCGCACGGCAAAAAGAAGGTGAATTTATGCGTATTTTTTTTTTTTAGATAAACACACAGTGATTGAGAGAACTCAATTCGTTTTACCGAAGAGTCATGCATTATTAGCCATAATATTCATTGTTTACAAGCCCACTTACTCCCCAGGGAGCTCAACCCAAATAAATTTTTCAGGAGCATATATATTGTCATCCACAGACAGATTGTTTCTCTGTATCACAGCTCATCAGTGTAGCAAGACGTCCGGTTGCCTCTAGCTAGGATCGAAACCCGGTTGAATTAGCGTCAGTCGGAGCTTTTACCCATAAGCTGTTATATATATATATATATATATATATATATATATATATATATATATATATATATATATATATATATATATATATATATATATATATATATATATATATATAAAAGAAATATGTTGTAGTGGTTCCAACGAGAGAAAAGTATGTATATTAAAAAGAAGAGGGGTGCCGCAAACGTTTTTGGTTGTAATGTGGATTTAATGAGAAAAAATATTATACTTTGTTTTACATAATTTCACGACACGTGTTTCTGGTCTGGTCTCGCAACCGTCTTCAGGTGAAAGTGGAGATTTTTACATATTATTAAAAATAATTAATTTTTCTTCATGTTCAATGTGGAATATTCTCGATATGAGACATTCTGTTTGTGTGTTGGCAATCCGAATTTTCTTTCTAGAATTGTCAATGAAGAGTTCTGCGTGAAGGGTCATAAAACAATTAAGGTTTGTCTAGCGAGTAGTTATCGGCATTTAATCTTTTAATGTTTTAGTGACCTCTATGTGCTCTTGGATCTGTTTCTATTTTGGCGTGTTCCTGTCAGCATGCGTGTATATATGCGTGCGTATATTTCCTTACTACGAGGAATTCGTAAACTTATTTGTACTTATACACGCATACACACACATACGCACATACACACTATCCCACCACAAGTAGTCAGTACACACACACATATACACACATATTTCCCAAGCTACATGGAACCAGTACACACACATACACACACACACATACATACACACGCCCACACACACACACACACACACGTACTTCTTAAGTTGTCAACATCCGCATATACATACATAAATGTATGTATGTGTACATACACATATATATATCTCCTCGTGTCTCCCGTATATGAGTGTGCGTCCATGTATGTGAGCGATCATTGTATTTGGTCACCCTGTGTGCATGTTTTTTTTTTTTTTGTGGGGGGGGTTACGATCTATTCAGTTCGGGTTTGAATTTGTCTATAAAGTTTTTTTCCTGTATTTGTAGATACGAGTAATTGTCTGTTTGATATATCGGCATGATATTAAACTTACCCTGGTTACATTTGAAAATGTGTTGTGATACAAAAAGTTTTCTGTTGTCTGTCAATTTTATATTGCTTTTGTGTAGGGAGACCCTGTTGTTCAGTTGTTGGCTGATGCCTATATATGACTTCTTACATTTTGTGCATTTATATATATATATATATATATATATATATATATATATACTCACTTTTCAAGCCTAACCGATCTAGCGAGACAAGCTTGCTAACCATTACACCACGCCGAGGTTACCCAAATTCACATACTTATGACAGGTTAGAACGTTCGCTTTCTGACAAGGAGACCCGGGTTCGAATCTCACCACGGTTGAGTTGTCAGAAAGTAGACTTCCTGATGTTATCGGTCTGGAGTGGGGGATCCCAGCGTTTGGCAGCTTTAAAAATGCGTGTAGACCTATACCAAGGGTTGACCTAAGCCTTGTGACTGAAATTGGGTTGACGGAACTCTTGGGGCCGTCGATAGCCGTGCTAGCACGAAGTCACAAGTCACAGTGACCGAGGGCTTGAGTGTGCTGGCCTTGTTCAGATTGATGCTCACGGTAGATAACACGCTCTTTTCCAGAAACTGTAACTAAGATCTTCTCAGCATATTTGCAGTATAAACCACAGGTTGACTCTGTGGGTGTTGAATAAACACAAATGTGCCTGAGGTTATGTTGCATTTCTACTTGCAAAGTGTGTAAAAAGAATGTGCCTCATTTAGCGGACTAAATCGTCGAATGGAATAACTACAGACCAACGTTGCTGCATCTGTGCAAAGGAATGTACGACCCTAGCAGAACTAAAAAGCGACGTCAGCGCATCAGATATTTAAGTATTAATTATGCGATAGTTTACTAAAAATTGAGTCGGAACCATCATATACATTGACATGTTCCATTTCCAAACTGTCTTCGATAGATAGATAGATAGATAGATAGATAGATAGAAACAGAACAATATAGATATGAAAAGAGTGACAGATAGATAGATAGATAGATAGATAGATAGATAGATAGATAGATAGATGCAAGTAATTTCGATAGGAAGAATATATTTATTTTCTAAGTGATAGATAGATAGATAGATAAATAGATAGATGTTAACAGAACAAGATAGATAGATAGATAGATAGATAGATATGAACAGAACAAGATAGATAGATATGAACAAATTGAGATAGATAGATAGATAGATAGATAGATAGATAGATAGATAGATAGATGCAAGTAATTTCGATAGGAAGAATATATTTATTTTCTAAGTGATAGATAGATAGATAAATAGATAGATGTTAACAGAACAAGATAGATAGATAGATAGATAGATAGATAGATAGATAGATAGATAGATCTCAACAGAACAAGATAGATAGATAGATAGATAGATAGATAGATAGATATGAACAAATTGAGTTAGATAGATAGATAGATAGATAGATAGATAGATAGATGCAAGTAATTTCGATAGGAAGAATATATTTATTTTCTAAGTGATAGATAGATAGATAAATAGATAGATGTTAACAGAACAAGATAGATAGATAGATAGATAGATAGATAGATAGATCTCAACAGAACAAGATAGATAGATAGATAGATAGATAGATAGATAGATATGAACAAATTGAGATAGATAGATAGATAGATAGATAGATAGATAGATGCAAGTAATTTCGATAGGAAGAATATATTTATTTTCTAAGTGATAGATAGATAGATAAATAGATAGATGTTAACAGAACAAGATAGATAGATAGATAGATAGATAGATAGATAGATAGATAGATAGATAGATATGAACAGAACAAGATAGATAGATATGAACAAATTGAGATAGATAGATAGATAGATAGATAGATAGATAGATAGATAGATAGATAGATAGATAGATAGATGCATTAGTAAGTTTTCAAGTTATGGTGGGCAGTTTTCATTTAAAATAGAAAACATTCATGCTTCAATATAATCCTCTTTCTTGTTAATGCACTTAATTCGGTGTTGAAATTAATTCAATAGATAGGGGACATATCCCAAAGATATGGGACATGGAACAGGAAGTCATGACCGGCCATGCTTTGAAAGGGATATGACATATAAAAGAAGAAGATACAGTCGCTAGTTTTCATTAAAAAAATAAGTACGGCTGAAACATCTGCATGTACCAAATATTATTATTTGCTATCAAGAGTAGAGAAGTATTCGAGTTAAGAAATGTGGCAGCATGATTTCACTTTCGTCGCTGTCTTCTAACAATTATATCATTTCAATTCGTCTTTATGATGACATCCAAAAATCAATATTCAATTCGTGTTCCTTAGGCTGAGGGAAGAGCAGTTGTGTGTGAAATCAAAGCTTCATATCCGGCGGTTTGTTCTCTTTCGTAAATTTTTTTTTTTTTTTTGTCGTTTTTGATTTTTTTTTTTTTTTGAAAAACTTTTTTTCATTTAATTGTGTGGATGAATATTTCAGGTGAAGAGGATGTTTTCCCAATACAAAGACTTTGTCGACGCTTCTTTTTCTCATAACCGAAACGCAATTGATCGTGTCTCTGTCCTTCTTCCTGTCACCAGTCAAAAAACACAACCGACTTTTGTTCCTTGTTCCTCGCCTAAAAAAAGAATCATTTTATTCAATGGATTTCACTCTCCGTCTCTCTTACATTTCCTCTCTTTATATTTTCCTCTTCCTTTCTTTGAGCTTCTTACACGAGGTAAAATCTTTCAAACCAATCTATTCAAATCTATTAGCATTCTCAATCTGTTTCAATATATATATATATATATATATATATATATATATATATATATATATATATATATATATATATATATACTTCCATATTTTGAATCTGTCTATCTAGAAGTTAGTTACCTGTTTCTGAAACTGTTTTCTCAGTTTATTCCTATTATCGAGATAGATTTGCTCAAATAAAGACTGCTAGATATATAGATAGATACATAATAATGAACAGCCTTTGATAGATAGATAGATAGATAGATAGATAGATAGATAGATAGATAATGAACAGACTGATAGATAGATAGATAGATAGATAGATAGATAGATAGATAGATAATGAACAGACTGATAGATAGATTGATAGATAGATTTGAAAAGACAAACATAGACTGAGAGACAAATGAAGGAAGGAAGGAAGGAAGAGAGAGAGAGAGAAGAAAAGAGAAGAGATAGATAGATAGATAGATAGATAGATAGATAGATAGATAGATAGATATAATATATTGGAAATGAATCCCATGAAATAGATTCGAGAATATTTATATAAATTTGCCAAAATTAAACTTGCACGTGAAAGCAAAATGCAATTCTTTTTTTATTTCATCAATTTCTTGAATAAATAAGAAAAATAAAATATGATCCCCAAAATAAGAAATTAAGTCAAGAATCCCTGTAATCCAAATATGCCCCTTTTTTTTCGCGCTAAAGAATCGTGCTTTTGAGCCTTTGTTACAAGGATCAAAATATTTTATCCGTTCTAATTTCCTTTCTTCTCAAAGGCGCGCAACGTGCGAATTTTGCCTCAAGCGTGTGTTTCCTTTCTTTTAACGAAGAGAATGCGTGCGAATTTTACTGTTGCTTTCTCAAAATAGTGTTCAGCTTCTAAGTTAACAATTCAAATCTCTACAATGAATCGAAGCAGTACTCACGCCATCAACAACGTGATGGATATTGATTTTCCATAACAATTTTATATTCAATTACTAGCAATTATTATTATTAATAATAATAATAATTATAATAACTGATGTAAACATTCACCGATTACAAATAATAAAGACTCCGAAATGACAAAATACACTCATACCTTAATAACAGTAAAAAATAATATTAAAAAAGCCAAAAACATTTTTAAATTGATATCTGTCTATATCTCTGAAATGAGGTATTACGAGTACTTGCATTATTTACGTTATTCAAACTGTTATCCTCATCTTCATTGCCATATTCATAACGTTTCGGTCTCTATATCTCTGAAATGAGGTATTATGATTACTTGCATTATTTACATTATTCGGGCTGATATCCTCATCTTCATTGCCATATTCACAACGTTTAACCCTTTATATCTCTGAGATGCGGTATTATGATTACTTGCATTATTTACATTTTTCGGACTGTTATCCTCATCTTCATTGCCGTATTCACAACGTTTCGGCCTCTATACCTCTGCAATGAGGTATTATGATTACTTGCATTATTTACATTAATCAAACTGCTATCCTCATCTTCATTGCCATATTCACAATGTTTCGGTCTCTATATCTCTGAAATGATGTATTTTGATTACTTGCATTATTTACATTATTCGGACTGTTAAGCTCATCTTCATTGACATATTCACAACGTTTCGGCCTCTATATCTCTGAAATATTCACAATTTTCTACCGAACATTTTATTTCGGGGTAGACGTCTCAGTTATTTCCCTTTAACTCAACACTCAAGTTTTACGTTCACTAAAATACCACTGATGGCCTGGCATTGAACTCACAATTCGTTGGGTCTAGTCAATGGATCTAACCAACGCCTTTATCCACTAGGCCAGGTGTCCATGAGAACATCTGTGTAAGAATTCTTTGGACTTATAAACCTAATGTCTCAGCAACCATTTTTTTTTTTGCCAGTTCTCAAGTGGATAAAGATGTTGTTTAGATCCAGTGACTATACACAAGGAGTTGTGAGGTCAATACCCGGCCACAGCAGTGGTGAACCAAAAACTTGGAGAGTTGATTTAAAGGGAAATAACTGAGTTAACTGAGATATCCGGAAGAGGCATGACACGTGGAACTAGAACAATCTCTCGCGTTGGACGAAATACAGAGATCGGTTCGAAATTTCAATCACATGAAGAAGGCCGGAGCGTACAACGGCGGAAACGTTGTGGATATGGCAATGAAGATGAGGATAACAGCCCGAATAATCTAAATAATGCAAGTAATCATACCTCATCTCAGAGATATAGAGGCCGAAACGTTGTGAATATGGCAATGAAGATGAGTATAACAGTCTGAATAATGTAAATAATGCAAGTAAAAATAATGATAATGCTGTTAATTGTATAATGTTAATGGTTATAAACATTCCTATGCTATTCACATTAAATACATTTGGAATACTGATTATGGTAATATTAGCCGTTTCCTTATAAGGAAATATTCAGCGTTCGTTGATCGAGCAGCCAGTACTGATTTCAGTTGAAATTTATAAAAGGATTCGATTAAAATAATTTTTGTGGTGTCCTTCTTAACTTTTTGTTTGAAGTCGTGTGGAACTGTCAACATGTTAATTTTGTCAGTACTTTCTCTTTCATTAAACTAGTACTGTCGATTGAAATACATAAAATCTTTCACGCCAGTAGCTGTTATCGCTCTTTCACTTACTGATAAGGGTTTCCTTTCTAACCTTTTGCTTGAAGTCGTGTGTAACTGTCAGCATCTTCGTTTTGTCAGTACTTTCTTTTCGATTTTCATGTGATATCCATTTTAGCTGTTGCCACTTTTGAAAGTTCTCAAGTGATGTGGCGCCTGCTATTTGCTGTAGTTCTTTATTTGTGATTCTGTAGCGCTAGAGTCTGCAATGTACAAATAAGGATGGTCCTCGCTAAGGCCGACATGCTTTATTGGTTAAAAAGAAAAGAGGTTGTGTACGAATGATATTTTAGATATAGCTGAACTAGTTTGGCGCCCTGGGCGACAGCATCCATCTGAAAGTAACCATCGGACGATACTATTTAAGAACATGACGAAAACTTGAAGCTTTTATAGTATTATTGAAAATTACCTCGATCGCAACCTAACCTATATTAAATTATCTCATCTCCTATACCATCTTTTTAATAAATTAGGTCTATAAACAATCAAAAATATTTTAAACAATCTACATTATGATTATATTAGTCATGTATATATCAAGTAAACTTTGGAAGAAAGGTCTGTAAAAAAAAACTAAATATGTAATCTATCTATCTATATATATATATATATATATATATATATATATATACATATATATATATATATATATATATATGAAGAAATATAGTCTTAGGGTGTGCTATGTTTATGGGATAAAGTGCTCAATATCAGAGATAGAGCGTGTGTAAATATAAAAGTGAACATTGAAGTAAACACTTAGAGGCGACAGTCTGTTTCATGCTAGACACAAGCGTCAGGCCACGACGATTGCATCTAGCGTGAAACAGAGTGTCACCTAAATGTTGACTTCAATGTTATACTTATATATATATATATATATATATATATATATATATATATATATATATATATATATATAATACGCTATATATACACCCTTGTGCAAATTAATTGAAACAACCACTGTAATTTCCTTTCTTTCGCCATACGGTCAGTTTTAGACAACCTGGAATGACAGGGTGTAATCTATTTTGTCGGATTACGTCATTCGCAGTGGTGTGCAGTAATATGAATCTATTTTCGGTGTGTATAATGAAATTTGTTTGGCCTTGAAAAATATTGCGTCTTCCGTGATTGCATCAAATTTTTATCACGCCGAGACACTATTGTCTCGACTGTCGATTAGTTGTCCTACGGACATTGTCTGCGATGGACGTTATTCCAAGGAAGCGTACGAAAATTGTAACACGAGCACAATCCAATCGAGAATCTGTGGACAATTTGCAAGGAACGACTTTGTGGAATTTGCACAAGAATATATATATTTACGTTTTTTGTGTGTGTAAAATAACAATGACCCGCTTGGTGTCGTACTAACCTGGCTCCGTTGACGTGCACTGATATCCCTACCGAAGAGGGTTCGTATATATAATATGCCACATATATCTTTAATAATGCTTTGTTCATTTTCAGAAATTTACTTTAAACTTTAAAAATTAAAATTA